CCCCCACCCCCCGCCCCCTGCGCTCTAGGCCCATGCCTGCTCACCCTTTTGGAAGGGGCAGTGGTTGGTCCTCTTGGCATCCAGCTCCAGGAGCCACACCTAGGAAGGAAACGGGGTCCCCCTCTGATCACTTCAACCTAGCCAGCCCCCGTGGGCATCTGCCACCTCTGGGGACAGTCATTCGGCCAGCATTTCAGAGCTCTGGTCCAGGCTTTCAGCCCTTAGGGCGCACACTGATTCTTCCAGCAAACCCTTAATAAGCACCTAAGCTAGGCACTGGCACGTCTTCACTCAATCCACTTGTAACGAGCACCTACTGTGTGTCAGGCCCCAGGGACAGGCAGAAACCCATTCCACCACCGAAAGAAACACCGATGTCAGAGGCCAAGCAGATGGGACGTGGTGTGTGCAGGTGATGGGAGAGAGAGGAAAGAGCCAACAGACATAACCCAGATGCACTCTGCTTCCTGGGAACAGGCTGTCCGGCTAGCATGTCCATCTCCCAGATGGGAAGTGGGCTCTGGGCTGGGAAGTGAGGAAGGAGTGGGCAGTCTGCGTCAAACTTGCCTGAAGCCAGAACATGGGCTCTGACTTCCGTGGCAACAGGGAAGGACTGGGCATGGGAGGCTTCGCGGAGGAGGTGGCATCTGCCTGGAGCCACAGGTTTTTGAGTGGGCGTCCTGGGGATGGCACCTCAGGAGGGACACTCGGCCAGACCAGGTGAGACGTAAGGGAGAGCAGGGGTGAAGAAGGGCCAGGACCTCAGCTCCGAGGGGAGGGTGGGGGGTGCTGACACCAGGAATGAGGGGACCACCCTTCCCCCACCAACGCCCCTTCCCCTGGGGCCCAGTTAGGCTCCAATCTTACCTGAACACAGAGGCAAGGAACCAGTACTCTGTGGTTCAGCGTGAAGTTTTGTGGCCCCGTCTGCAGGACAAGCGGGAGGAGGGAAGTTGGAGAAGTTCAGAAGGAAGAGGACTGGAAGCCAGAGATGAGGACCCCCGGCGGGCAGAGTGGGGATTTCCTACTGCTTGTCGCCTGGCATCTGAAATCTTCACACACACATGCACGCCCACACCCAGCAGAGCTCCCTTGCTTTGGGCATGGGTCTCTCTCCTCATCCCCCTAGCATTGGCCTAGATCTGGTATCAATTTGAGAGTAGAGGGGCAGGGGGCTCACCAGGTTTGCTTGCCACTTGGGCTCTGGGGGGGCCCAGTCCTGGTCCCAGTACAGGGAGATGCCAAAGTGTTGCCCCTCTGAGATATCCAGCACCAGGCGCCTGTCTTTGCTGTCGGCAGACGGGCTCAGCCAGGGCAGAGCAGCTGGGGGAGACAAAGACCATTTCTGCACACCCAAATCTGGTGTCTCTTCCACACCCCTTGGACTAAGTGACTCTGAGAGGGCAGAGCATGTGGCCCCATCGTAGACTGGGCAGTAGGTCACAAGGCTCCACTTGGGCTGGCTGGCATGAGCTCACGAAAGCCATCGCCCACATCTTGTCCTGGATGCCCCTGCTGCAGACACACTGGCATTTTTATTACGTAAACACACCAGGCGCTCCAGCCTCAGGACCTTTGCACAGTCTATCCTCTGTGGAGAGCCCTCTTCTCTCAGATACCCACATGGCTCCTCCCTCCCCTCCTCCAGGTCTCTGTTCACTGTAGGGAAGCCATCTCCAGCCCCTGCAACTCCCAGCCACTCCCCCACACCTCCACAGCAGATATCTCGGCCCATCGCCATTGGTCAGTGCAGTCTCCACCTCCAGCTGTCCATTATGTCCTCTCTCACCTCCATCCCAACTCCCTAGATCCAGGGTCAGCGGCACAAGCGCTGGGCTTGGGGTCAATTTTTGTTCATTGGTTTACTTTCAGTGCCTAGGGCTGCATTTCACGAGTAGCAGTTAATAAATAAATGCTGAATCGAGGTCTCTTGACCAAGGGAAGAGATGGAATGTCTGACATGTAGCCCTTACTGGATTGCCAACCAGGCAAGCCGGCTTAGGTTTAAGGAACCAAAAAGAAAATGAAGTTTGAATAACGAGCATTTAGAGAACATCACGGTGTTTGAACAATCTGGAGGAGAAAACAATGGGACCGACAGTTCCAGGGGGACATGGGAGAGGGGGAGGTG